CAGAATACTTCTTTCCTTATTTGAGTTTCTAATCATAAACCTATGTACTACAAACTCCCTTATAGATACTCTTGTTCGTTTGCGTGTTTTTTGAATTTTTGATAGATTTTTATTACTATCTTTATTACTATTATTAGATTGTTGATATATAGATTCATTATCATTATCAAATTCAAACACAATCTCTTGTTCTTGTTCTTTTTCTTTTCTTTTGTTAAGTTTTCTTTTCTTTTTTTTAGGTTTATCATCATTATTATTACTATCTGAACTATTTTCAGATTCAGATTGTTGTTGTTTTTCTTCTTCTAATGCAACTTTTTTCTTTTGGATTTTTTATTACTTGTTTTACTTGTTTCACTAATACTTATAAAACTTGCTGAGGATTCAATAGTTGCATCTTCTAATAATTGAGTTAAACTTGACTTCTCTTTTGAATATGTTTCTAATAAAGTGTCAAAAAGTATTGTTTTTTGGAGTTCTTCTTCTTTTTCTGGTTCAGGTAAATCATATAAATCTCCAATCTAAGAATCATCACGTAATCTATAAACATCATCTTTGTATTTTAATGCTAGTCTTATTTCTTCTGCTATTATTCTTTCTTGTTCTTCTGTTATTACCCTTTCTTGTTCTTCTTGTTCTTTATCATCCTCATTATTATTTTTATTATCATTATTACTATTATTATCACTATTACTATCTTTATTATAATCATCACTATTATCATCACTACTATTATTACTATTATCATCACTATCATCATTATTATTTTTACTTTGTTCAATAATTTTTTTCTTTTTAGGGTCTGTTCTTAATATATTATCATGCCAACCATATTCTCTAAAGGAAATAGCACAGGATATTGTAAGGATCATAAGCATCATGTAGTTCAGATATTCTTTGAAACATATTATCTGTTCTTTTAATAAGAATATCTCTTTCTTTTGGCATTTGATGATCATTATAAATTACACTTAAAGCATTGGTATATTTCTATCCTTGTCATGAGTATTATGAAATGCTATGTATAATACTTCTTGTTTAGTTTTTATTTCACTATTTCTAGCACATCTAAATGTTTGTACAAAAGGATTATTATCAGAAAGTTCAAATTGGAGTTCATCTAGCAATTCATAATATAATTCCTTTTTTATTATTTCATGTTTTCTTTTAAGTTGGTTATCATAAGTATCACAAAAATATATTTGAGCAAATTTTGGGTCTTGACCTTTATCAGGTATTAATGAACCCATCTGATGATAATGTTCTCTATTAATTTTATAAGTATAAACTCCTTCTTTGGCATTGGCTAAATCATTATCTAATTTTGTACCAATAGATATAAAAGCAAATAAAGAATTGGGGGGGTGCTAGTAGAAACCAAGCAAATCAAAATTTTTTTAGAAATGAGTTTTTGTATTTAAATAATATAAAATTTTACAAAGAACATTTTTTGCTTAATAATGAACCCCTTATTAATTAATAAAGTTTTGAGATATTACATATTAAAGTTTACATTACACAAAATTACATTTCGGTCAGAACAGATCGTCCGATCTTCACTAGATCGGAAATAATTAACCAATAGAAATCACCCACATATTAAATCTATAAAAAAAAAATGCACAACATATTTTGTATTGTTAATTAGTTGATAAATTTAGGCAATAACGATAACTGGAAATTGTACTCTATACCTTGTTTATCCGAGTATTTGCGCAGATCAGTATGGTATAGGTTAGCTAATCAGTATAGTATAGGCCGAATTTTTAAATCTATACTTATACTCAGTGTCTGAAATTCAATTTTTAACTTAATTGCGGGCCTGCAACTAAATAAAAACTATACTTGCAGATTATATGGATTTGGTTGCACATATAAATATATTTATATACAAATTCGAACATATCTATGTGCAAATTTATAAAATTCATTTGCAGGAACTTATAAATCATTTGCGGTCCGCAAGCTCTGCAACTCAATTTCAGACACTGCTTATACTAATCCGGTGTTATATATTATAGTATAGATTTTAAATTTGGCCTATACTGTATGGATCTGCTCACCTATACCATACTAATCCGCTATAATTTCGTTTATCTGGATAATTTACTGTAATTATATAACAATTTCTATTCGGATACGTATAATACGCTATTTTAAAAAAAGCTTTCAGTACCTTTTCGCAAGCATCAAGTACATATATGAGAGCTTACAAATTATTTTATCTATAAGGGTCAGTCCATGAAGCTTCGAAAGCAATTACTTAAGTTCAAAAATTGATGTCAATGTAAGATTAGCACTCAAGAATATAATTTAATAAATAAAATCAAGAATTGATCAAAAAGTTGTGAAACTTTATAATAGTACAGATGTTTTTTAAGTGGTGTGACTGAATCAAAAGCAGTTTTTATAATAGCCTATAGCCTTTTTTTTGTTTTTTTTTTGTTTTGTTTTGTTTTTTTTTTTTTTACTCAATAACAAGTATTTTCTCTACAGGTTAATTATAAATCTAAGGTAGGGATGGAAACGGCCTAAAAAGACCAGATCACAACCTAAGTTCCAAAGAGGTTACTGTTTTTTAATTTGGAACTTTTTTTTGTTCTAAAATAGTGTTATACTAGTGCTAAATAATATAAATGTGTATGTAAAAAATTATAATTGTTAATAAAATAAATTATTTTGATTCATAAATACTTTTGGGTTTTGTAGGTTTGGGAAGGGTTAGTTTTGCGCAATAAATATCACACTTTGACAGGTTTTGTATGTGTTGTCGTACTTCATTGTATAAATACCATTGTCGATTTAGACTTAATCCAGGTGCAGACATAATTTCTGGCATTATTATTTCTCCTTTTTCTGTACGAGGAATTGAATTAACACGTGCAATACTTATCTCATTTGGTACTGCATCTGTTGATATTCGAACTATTACCTTTTCAATCTTTTCACATGATACAACAAATTGATATTGCTTAAGAATTTCTGGAATTGTTGAAAAGAATTGTTCTAAGAATTTTGACCATTTATAAAAATTTATTACTTTTCTTCCTTCAGAATCATAGACAGTTGCCGCTTGGTTATATCCTCCAAATGAACCTATGTAATTATACCACAAAAAATTTTCCGGTCACATGACTTTATCGTGGCGCAAACCAATTGAATTTCAGGA